TTTTTTTTAAAAAAAAGCTGGTTTTCTTCACCTGCTGTTTACAAAGTATTATTTCTAACCGTCTTAATACGTGTTTACAGCTAGAAAGGGGTAACTCCTTAAAAATTACCTCTTGGCATTATTCACTGTCACGGACCTCTGTGTGGGTTGTGCTGTCATTGCTGCTAGTTCAGTTTCTTTCCAGATAGAAAGAAGTGAAGGGTGTCTTCGTTTGTAAATCAGTTAATAAATATAGTCACATTTAGACTTCATTCGTCCTGTTTGGTGTGATTGCATCCACAGGTTAGGTTGCTTTTAAACAAAATCTTTTTAGGGAGAGGCAGGTTTTTCCATCACTATTAACAAACAGCCACCTTGCTGCAGTCATCCCCCCTCAGAGATTGGGAAATGGGGGCTCTGAGAAGACAGGACTTAATGAAAAATGAAGAGGTGTGTCCTGCGTAACATTGTCCTAGTAATGTACGTTCTAGATAACTTCTTAAATGATACATCTTTGGTATAAAACCATTAGCTTTAGGTTTCATAATGGGGGTTGCGTTGTGCCCGTTGGGCTTGAATCTGTATTCCCTGTGACCTTCTCCTGATGCTGTTCCATTAATTTCGGTGGAACTATATGCCTTCTTACATTGATGGGAAGAGCCTGCATTTTTCCAGTGGAATAAATGTGCCTGTTTTGCATTAGCCTTCTTTTTAGAAGTCCTTTTCACACCTTTAGCATAATGCTAGGGAAGAAATGTAACTGGATGAAAGAAAAATGCACTGTGATGACCATTGTTTTTTTAAAGGAAAATGAGTTTCTTTCTCATTTCAATAATTTTTCCTTCGGGCCCTTTCAAAGCAGTAGAGTTTGTTTCATTTCTAATTTTAGCTAGAGGGAGCTTTTATAGGTATTGGCTTTTAAGGCAATCAGTGGCCTCTGCATAAATGACTGTTGCTGATTGATCATGGGAGGACGGTCTGGACCAAACATACCTCCTGAAGAAGCTCATCTTACCAGCTTTGCCAGCTAGAGTCAGTGATACAGTCAGTCCTTCCTTTTTTTTTTTCCCCTTCCCCTAAAGAAAAAAGAGGGGGGGAAAGGCAGGAAATTAAAACCCAGTCTTAAACTGTCTCTCTTCTTTCCCCTACAAAACCCTAGCTTAACACAAGGCTAATCATAGTAGGGTTGTAACCATTTATTATTTTTACTAGCAAAAAAGTCAGTCTTCCCCCATGTTTGTGAGCTTGCATTGCCTCTTGTTCCGTCAAAAAATTGTTGACAGATTTTTATGAAATAATACCATGGAATAGCAGAAAAAACACACTAGGGATGGCTTGGGCAGTAGACTGCTGCTTTCCTTGCCCTACCTATGGATTCCAGAAACTGCATTTGTGTGCATAGCCTTAGGCTCTGAAGACATTGGAACCCCAACATCTTCATTCTTTTCAATTACACTATCAGTGGTTAGGTTTTACTTACTTCTCTCCACTGGGAGCATATGTTAACACAGTTTAGTCTTTGTCTTGCTCTTGATCCCAATGCATGGATTTTATGACAATATTCTAATAATCTTTTGATCTTAGCTCTCTAGCAAGTTAATTCTAGGCAAAATTGTGCCACTGCTACTACACACGTTACCAGTACTATGCGTTTTCTGCCTTGACACGTACAGCAAAACATCTTGTGCTCTGTCTTTCAATTCCTCCAATGCCTGTAAACTTTGGCTTAGAAAATTCACGATTAGAAATCTGAAACTATTGCTGTTTTTAAAACCAAGATGTGTTTATTGGTGCTCAGAACCCCTGACATAGGGGGGGAAAAGTGTTTATTGTATTCTATTCAGCAGAAAAGAATAGCATCTATTCTATTTAGTCAAATGCATTGTAGCTCTTCATTTCGTTGCCAATTAGAACAAGCGTACTTGTATGCCAGCACAGGTTGTGCTCTACATCAGTTTGTTGTGCAATAGAGAGCTGTTGGAGAACATTATATTTTATTTAGCTTTGTGTAGTGGTTTTATTGGTGTATATTTGGAATTAAATGTTTTTATTACTTATTCATGGAACATGTGATTGCTTCTCAGTCCTTGGTAGTGGAGGATTCTGCAAGTTTATTACTGTTTCTGGTCATGTTATGTGTAAGTACCTAAGTGGGCTGGTTGTGATGCTATACCCTGTGTTCTCAGTGCCCATGGATATGTTTATATTTTTGTTTTTACAGTAGCAGAATTGAACGTCTTACAAGACAGCAATGGCTTTTTCTCTAGAATTTGAATATGGAGGCCACAGGGACAGATGAAGTAGAAAAGATAAAATCAAAGTTTATGTCGGCATGGCACAACATGAAATACAGTAAGTGAAACAGTGTATGGTAAGATCGTGTCTCCATTGAAATCAGTAGAATGTTTATTGTTGACATGAATGGGATCATGATTCAGAAATTTAACTACTATTAATAATAAAAATGCAATGTGGCACTTGAAACCATTTTTACCCTGACAGTATAAACAGCCTGAGTAAACAAATTCCTTGCTTTTAATTTTCCAAATAAATTTGCACAATTTCTTTTTAAGTGACTTATTCTAAAACCAGTAAATACATAAATGACATTCAATTTGCATAGACTTTTAAACAGGGATAATACATAATCATCTGTGCAGATTTTTTTTATTTTTGTATGTGCTTTTCCAGAAAAATTTTATGGTGAGTGAAATAAAACTCCACTGAAGAATCTACTTCAAGCAGTTGAGTAACATACTTTTCCACAGTTGAATTTCAGAAATTTGTTTATAAGCAAACAAATTCCTAAATGTCTGTCCTTAATCTTTCTACTTTCCCTCTAGGACTGAGGTTGCTCAGATTTACCACCAGGTTTCTGAAAATTTTGTTAATTCTCATAACTGAGCCTTGGAGATGTGTGCAAGATGAAAAGATACTTTTCTATTTTCTTTAAGGCTACCACATGGCTGCAGGGCAATAGTAGTCATTACACCCTATATGTGATAGGAAAAGTTCAAGAAACTCTATGGACTTAGGATATAAAAGTCCATGGGATTTAGATTTAAGTGATTTAGACTTAAGCTACTGTCTGGGGACACTGTCAAAACCTAAAAACTGAATTCTGGCCCTTGAATTCGTACAGTATATTATACTACCCTTTTTTGTGTCTGGAATCTGCAATTTGATTTTGTGATGAAGTATGTTTAATTAATCCTACAGGAAAAGCAATACTCTTCATGCATTTTCACTGGTCATTGTGAAGCTTATTGTATGTTGTTATAGGAGCTGGAAACCTCACAGAATCAAACTATGCAGTAATGAATTTACAATAGAGACAAAGCAACTTAAGCTCAGCTTTAGCATTTCTGTATCCTAACAATTTCTGTGCAGTAATACCATTGTATTAGCATTCAAACATTCATATATGGGTAACATCGTTACTTTAAAACTAGAATTCTAATCTGTTTTGTAGAACTATTAAACTTTTTGTTCTTTATGAAAGCAAAACACAATTTCAGTACATTTTCTCTATATTCCCCTTTCATAGATTACCTTGGGCTTAACCAGATGCTATTAGAAATTCCTTTTTGGAATACTTCAGTCACACATTTGTTATCTTTTTTTCATCTATTTTAGGTTGGGTGTTGAAAACAAAAACTTACTTCAGTAGAAACTCTCCAGTCTTTCTGCTGGGAAAATGTTACCACTTCAAAACCGATGGTATGTTTAACTTAACTTATTCCAACCTTATTTGGCAGGAGCTCTGTGGATGTATTTTTAATCTTCTAGAAAGATCCTCATTAACACTTCCCAAATTCAAAATGTAAATATGAAAAGCTTAGAAAGTACTCATGTAAATCTCCAACACCACCACTAATGAAACCCATCCTAACCTGCTTTATTCAGATTTTACACTGAAGTCTTGTTCTTTCTGTAAATACTAGTGCTATAATTCGCACTTCATTTCATTTACGTATCAATTTGAGATTTTCTTTCTAAAAACTCCTGAACAAAATACTAACAATACCTGTACAAAAAGCCACTACACCAACACCTTTGTTACCATTTTCCAGTACGTAGTTTTCTAAGAACATCTCTATTTGACCATTTACATTAGGTGAATTAAGCAGTTGCTTACTTGCAAGTCAGCAATTCCATTGGCACAGTAACGTTGGCTGATTGCTCTTTTTTTTTTTTTTTTCCCCAGCTGGCACATTTCTATTGTGTTTGCCTTCCAATTTTCCTTTCTTATGTTTGAAGCAATTGTGCCTTTTTGCAAGTTTGCCCTGTTTTTGTAATACAATAGTTGTATGGTTTTATTTTCCTTCTAATAACAGAAGTGCCTTACAACTTAAAATTTGTGCTTTGCCTTACAGAATCTAGTGAACTCTCTTCAGATGGGTCCAATTTTGATAAAATCAACACGGAGATTTCAGGAAATGTTGAGGAGTTTCGTAAAGATTTTATTTCTAGAATATGGCTGACTTACAGAGAGGAATTTCCTCAGATAAAGGGGTCTGCATTAACAACAGACTGTGGCTGGGGTTGCACACTGAGAACTGGTCAAATGCTGCTGGCTCAAGGTCTTATGCTTCATTTTCTCGGTAGAGGTAAGTTATGAGAGAAGATCTCTGTGTTCGGCATGATAAGCATGGGGGTTCTGTAGAGAACGTGATGTCCTTTATGTAGCCCAAATCTGAAGTGCAAGCTGGTTTTGGTTCTGGACTCCTCATTAATATTGCATTTGTTACATTGTGTCGGCACAGTGATCTAGCTGTCCTACCCTTCAGTTTCTGAAAAAGGGAATACCAAACTGTGTCAGAGGAAGATACCACATAAGCTCACTGTGAAGTAAAATACCACAAAAATTCGTGATCCTCTACCTGGCTATTGTTATTATCCATGCAAGTGTCCAATTCTCTTGACTCTTGCTCATGTCTTGAACTCGAGGTGTGGAAATTAGTTCCACTGCCCATAGCTGTGGGCTATGGCAAAAGTGATGTTCTTTTATCAGTTTTAAAGCTGTACATTATTCAATTCTTCTAGTATTACTATATTGAGTTAATAGAAGGATTCTAATCTAACTTCAATACATCATTCTTTGTGTTGAAATTTGCACTATTTCATTTCCTCCCTTCCTCCCATCTACTTACAGAGGAACTTCCTTTTTTTTCCTATCATTGTCTATCTCAAAATACTCTCTGTCACAGCTGTTTCAAAGACATAGCTTTAGGAGATCTGGAGTGCTTTCTGCTTCCAAAGGCTAAGTGTGTATGTCCTCCCTAATTCCTCCAAGCTGAGCCATGTCCTGCGTAGAAGTATTTTTGGTTCTCATCGTTAACCACCTTTTCTTTCCATCCTCTTCTCAATTCTTTTCATAATCTACCACGTTGCTCCTTTAAAACCAGTGGTCCCATCCTCTGTTACTATTGCTTGTCAAAATCATCCAAGACACAGGCCTGAAGCCACCCAGGCACGTTAGTTAGAGAGAATACAGTGCATTGTTTACTTGGCCGTTTGTTGGATCCCAGCAATACTTCAGTAGAAGATAGTTCTGAAAGCCTATTCTGATAATACTTTGTACTTATTGTGCAAATATAGCGTAAGCTGTGAACATAGTCCCAAACAAGCTGCATCACAAAGTTGCCTTTCTTGGCAGTGTCATGACCGAACTGTCAGATTGGCTCACTGAATGTTCCTTTTGCTGTAGATATTTAAGTCATAAAACGTGTATTATCCCTTTCAGCTGACTGCAGATATCAAAATGTATGAAAGTACTTCTGCTGAGAACACAAATTGCTTAAATATACCTTTTGTTATAAATACATCTAAAGAAATAAAAAAATCTGATCAGAAGATTGCCTGTGAGTAGGAACATGTAATGGCTCATTCTGGAGTAACCCAAAACAAAAAAGCCCCAGGTTTCTATCTTTAAAATCCACGGTTACAAAGAATTCCTTGCACTGTCCCCCATGCATCCTAATTTGGAAAATGATTTGGTGATTCCAGAGTGCTAGTGTTTCTGTGGCAATCCAAATGCACAGAAAAATGGAATCTGTATGGTCTTTCTGGGCTACTTTTCTCATCATCTAGTCTTCTGACAGCTGGTGAATTATCTTTTGAAAAGCTTTTTATGAGGTCTGGGTAGCTTTTGAAACATATTAAAGTGTTTACATGAAGTTTTTCATCGCTGTTTACTCTTTTCCCAGAGATGTTTTCATTATAGTTTAATGGTATTGTTGCTGTTACAAAGCAAAACTTGATTGCAGTTCCTAGCTGGAATACTTACACTTCTACTGCTATGTGGAATGTTCCAGATAAGTGCTGAATGATGTTGTAAATGAGTCTTTATTTTAAATATTAAGGTACTGGTAAGTTTTACTTTGAAATGCCTGTGTTTAAGACAGTGACTTAAATTTGAAAACTCGCAGTATGGGAATAGCAAGGCCTGTGATGTTGTTACATTGAGCTTAGACGTGCATCTGCCTGGGTCTGCAGTGAAAAATTAACACAAGTTTCACTGAGGGGTGCCGCTTGTGGTAAGAGGCATTGATATAGGGTGGTTGTCACACTAGTAAGAGTGGGTGACATGGATTAAGTACATTACCAGCAATACTTGTGATGCTACTGGAGCCCCAAGCTTATTTTAATTCTAAAATCTTGGTTGCCTCTGTGCTTCCTCTTTGTTTCTCAAAGACTTTTACAGAGATACTTCAGTAAGAATTACGAGGAAGGCTGCAGTTCTTGCTCTCTGGCAGTGTTAGTTTGAAAAGGTTCCTCTGCTGCTGTAACAGCAGCTTTCTGAACCTCCATGAGTTTACCCAAATCTGGCTCATGGGCAAAAGCACCCTATCCGTAGGGTTTGTAGGGTGTGTTCCTTGCTTGCACCTGGCAGCTTCCCCATTGCCGCCTGGGATGTTCATTGTAGACCTTCAGGATACGTTCTGATGTAACACTACGTTCTCTGTGTTTCGGAGGTTTTCTCACATGCTCTGTGTTGCAAGTAGTTCTCTGAACTTGTGGGAGAGACTTTCAGTCATCTGACGAGGGAAGCGTTACTCTTCTCTAGATGTGCTGAACCACCATTATGCTGTTAGAGGAACGCTGTGTATAGGATGCGTTGTCAGAGAAACCTTAGCTAGAAATGCAGACTGTAGTGACTGTGCTGAATAATATTGAAACATGTTTGTCTTGTAATCTAGATAAAGAATTCACAAGTTTAGTGAATAAAGAAATCTTGTCTATTTTTCTGCTGATCTGCTTTGACATTTTGCCAGGAAGAATTGTTTACTTTTACATGAACAATTCTTCAGGTTTGCCTATTTTTTTTTTTTTTAATAACTGACAAACCAGAAGAATGAAAAACAGCTTTCGAAATTTCTTGTTTGACTTGGATAAAACTTTTTAGATGGCACTGAATAGCTAACTTTCACACTTTCAATATGTAAGATAGTTCTAACCTGTGCCTTGTCATCAGGTGTGTCTTGTATATCTTAACTGACTGGGATCATGGAGTCTGACCTACTCTCTGAGATAGGTGAAATGAAATACTACCAACAGTACACTTGTTAGCAATTTATGCTATCATTCAGCAGAAAACAAAAGCAAATCATACTCTATTTAAATTCTTTGTTTACATTTTAACACTGATATTTGCATCTCAGAACATTAAGTACATATTACCGGTTTGAGGAACATGGAGGACAAAGGGATGTGCTTTGCGAATTATACTAAAATACTAAGCCTAATATGTATCTCAAAATTTCTTACTGCAGCCTGGGTCTGGCCAGATGCGTTGGATATTGACAATTCAGATTCTGAATCATGGACAGCCCATACAGTGAAAAAGCTGACAGCATCATTCGAAGCATCACTTACAGCAGAAAGAGAACCCAAGATGCTGTCAAATCATCATCAGGGAACAATAAAGAGGAACTGTGATGACAATGAAATGAGAAATGAAGTTTATCATAGAAAAATAATTTCTTGGTTTGGTGACTCTCCACTGGCAGCTTTTGGCTTGCACCAGCTAATAGAGTATGGAAAGAAGTCTGGAAAAATTGCTGGAGATTGGTATGGGCCTGCAGTTGTTGCACACATTTTAAGGTAAAAATACCTTTATTCTTTGTTGTTACTGTGCCTTACGCATTACAGGAGAAGCATTTCAGAGTGTCATGAGATTACTTCAGCTTAATTGAGCATCTAAGTGTTCATTATTGGCTTTGTAAAATGTCCGTATTAGTAGCAATTCTAGAGATTTTTCAGAGGCAGGAGAGGAAATAGCAGTAGGTGCAGGAACTGCACTCTGAGCTTTGGTTCAATCTTACCTCAGAACAAAAATGACATTCCTATTTTCCTGTACTTTGGGCAGTAGAAGTCCCAAGTATCTCTCCCAAAACTAGGCTTTTAAGTAGAGCTGCATTTAATGAAATGTTCTAAAAACTAACCACTCTTTCAACCTTGGAACATGCATAACATTATAGATTTTTTTTTTTATACTGTAACCTGGGGGCTGTAATGTACTGATAGTGTAATGAAATGTCAGAGCTAAAATTGATGTTTTCAGCATTTCTTTGCACACATCAAATTCTTGTGAAACTGTAAATGTATGGGACTATTAATATTATAATTATATCACAGTAAAAGTAAAGGGTCTGTGACATTCAGTGTGGTTAAAAAAAAAAAGTCGAAAGTCAAATTTCTCCATACTATGTGCCTTTATATGCTATTTCTTCGAATATTACCAATTTTTTGTTTTGGGGTGGTTTTTTTTTAAAGCTTTATATGCTTATATTCTTAGTGGATTCCAGTTTACCTACAAACTGAATCACTAACAAGTCATTTAAGCACCAGAAGCCAAAGTTCATACATTTATCTAAATGTATGTGTGAATAGAAGACTGATATTTAGTATAAAACTATATTAATCTTATGTGAACCTGTACTGAAATAATCAGATTTACATATGTGCATATGTGAGAGGTTAGCATGATCTATGTGTGTTCTTCAGTTTTTTTTAGAAACTGATAGAAACTGTCAGAATTCTTTTTGCTTGCTTTAAATTGCTGTAGCCAGTTTACCTAATGGAAGGGGGGGGGGGGCAATTTGGCCCAGAATTCCATTGAACACAAACCCACCAGTGATTTCCAACACTGCAAAAGTTTCCTTTCCTAGGTCTCCTTTCTCTTACAGCAATACTAACAATGTATAGCGCTCTCATAACTTGAGAACGACTGTATTAAACGATTCCTCGAAATACAGTGTGAGATAAAGGGATAGTGACCATTTAATGCAAGTGTGTATTGAAGTCAAAGGCTAATCTTCTATTTTGAACAGTTTAGTTTCTTTACAAATATTGTCCTTGATTGATGATCATGCTTCAGACTATCGACAAATATTTTCTTACTAGTTTTTAGGTCCATTACTCATACTCTTTTGAGGATAGCCTAATATTGTAATTATCTTTTTGGAAGGTTTTGGTGAAACCTTACACCTTTTATGTGCTAGCCTTTATTTCCATAGACGTGAGGTGCTAATTTGTGGCTAGTTGTATGAACTGAGGTCAACTAAAGAGATCTATCGAGTTGAAAATAATACTTTTTGTCAGCAAATTTAGCCTTTATTATCCCAATATATGTGACAGAAAATTGTTATAAACACAAATAAATTAAGTAGTGGATATGAATTTCATTGTAAGTTAATGTGTTTCTTTAGGTTTTTTTGTGGTTTTCATTGTTTTCTAAATAGCCAGACATTGTCATCTTTGTGGAAAAACATGTTGCCATATACACTGGATCTTGGTATGCAGTGTTTAAAAACAAACAAAGAACCCCTATCCTCCCAGCTGTATTTTTCAGGAATGGAAGGTGTCTTTAATTAAAAAACAAAACAAACCCCAAAAGCCCCAACAACAACCAATTTAAACCAACCTGTTTCTAAAAATCAAGTAATTTATGTTTATTTACTGTTAATTTCTTTAAAATCAGAGATGAGTTAAATAGTTTTGTGTTTGTACTTAGAAAAGCTGTTGAAGAAGCAAGAGACCCTGAGCTACAAGGAGTAACAGTCTATGTTGCTCAGGATTGTACAGGTAAATGTTGTGATTATGTAGATTTTTGCAAATACTTTAGATGCTTTTTATGCCTTTCAGTAAGCACTTAACAATAGAGCTCTAAAGGAAAAAAATTAACTCAAAAATGGATCCACAAAATTGAGATTATGTAGTCAAAAGGGTTCTTGATATATACAGATGTTTGTTTTCTTTGAGGATCAGCTATCACAACTCAAAAGCTTTGTACATTGCTTGTTTGGTACCTTATAGTGGAAGAGAGTAGAATTCCAAATCTAGCAAGACAACTTTTTCTTATAGTCTGCCTATTTTATTTTGGATTTAAATCAGTTAATAATCTGTTTTGTACTCACTTCAGTGTTGTTTTAGCAATAAGCTAATAAGAACTTCCATATCTAATTAAAAAAAAAACCCAAAAAACAACCAAACATCTGAAAAATACTTCAGTTAGAGTAGATTTGTTAGTTACATTTTGTCTTGTGTATCAGAGGATTCTCTGTTAGCCATTCTTCTAGAGAAAAAAAAAAAACAGAACGCAGCACCAGTTTTTTAGAATCGTAAGAAGTCATTTTCACTTGGAGTTCACAGATGTGAGCAGGATAGTGAACCAGAGCCAGTGGTAACCTTTCTTCTCCTCCAACATGGCATTTTAAATAATCGATAACAGGCAGAGGAGCTTAGAGTTCTGGATGTTCAGGAGCAGAAAATGATGACAAGATAAACTAATCGTGTGGTGAAACTTTACACTAATGACTATAGTCTTTCAAATCTAAGCACAATGTATTACTTCAGTAGCCACGTTTAGCTGCCAGAAATTTTAGTTATGTCATAACTGATCTTGGGATAGGACAGACAAGACCAACATCCCTGAGTAATCAATCAAACTGGTTTTAAAGAGATACTGTTTAATCATACACTACAAACCAGTTTCACCAGACTTAAAATGATAGTGGAAACTCTTAAAATTCTATTGATTTTTTGCTTCTTTGTTCTGGTGATGACTTTTTGCATCTCTCTTAGTTTGGAGGGAATAAGCAATAATACTACATTAAGTTTTTTCACTCATTTTCAGTGACTGTGTTGTGCTAACTTTAGACAGTGAACTTGAGTATTAAAATCAATTATTGTCATCTTTTTTTCCTTTAACATGTAGATGTTTCTGTTAGTTGTAGGCTTTCAAGTTTTAAACTATTCCTTTTAATAGTAGTTTGTATCAAGTGAATAAATATTTATTGGTTTTCTCCTAACCCACCCCTTCCGCGTTTTCCTGACAATGTATTTTATCTCAGCAGCAGCCCATTTCCATTCTACAAAATATTGCTGAAAATAAGGAGGCATAACACTGTTTTTCATCAGTCACTCGAGTTATATTTCAGGAGGACAATAATATTTTGAAGGACTGTAGTTTTAATTTGTCACACTAAATGATGACATGTTGTAGGTGTGTCTGCAAAAGCTAGCAGTTGTATTTTAAATATGAATATTTCCCCTCTGTCTCCTTTCAGTCTACAGTTCAGATGTTATTGACAGACAGTGTTCTTTTATGGACTCTGGAAAAGCAGACACAAAAGCTGTAATTATATTAGTTCCTGTGAGACTCGGTGGAGAGAGAACAAACATGGACTACTTAGAGTTTGTAAAGGTATGAAATGAGAGTTCAATCATTTTTCAAATAGTAGCACTAGGTGATATGAAAAGTGACTTCATGATGGTAATCTTCTACCTATTAAATGTGTGGTGGTGATTTTACAGTTGAAGGTTGTAAAGTTTGACTTTACAGATTTTAAATTTCCCTATTACAAGATCAGACATAATTGTAGAGCACATGATGTCCCTTGGTAAAGCAGTGATAACTGTCCTACTCCTCAAGTAGCTACCTGAAAAGACATTAATGCAGTGGCTCAAATTAGAAATGGTAATTTAGTTACATATGCTATTAGAGCTGTGCTGTATTAAGTATCAGTCAGTATTTGAAAATATAAACATACCAAATTCTGTGTTCTGTTTCTTATTTTCTTAAATGTTGAATGGTTTAAGGTTGTTGCTTGTCTGTTCTTCCCATTTTCTTTTGTCTTTTTCTTCCCCTTAAGAGACAGTTTAGAATTTTTTTATATCTTTAGTCACTCCTTCAAGTGTGTTTTCACTATCTGGACATTAGGATGAATATTTCTAAGGACAGTGATGCAGGAGTAGCAAGCAGTTACCACAAATAAAAGTGAACTGGAAAAAAGTAAAACTCAAGGAAAAAGCAGAGGGGAGAAAAGTCTATGCAGTCTTCTTTTTTAAAATATTTTTTTAATTTTT